AAATGGTTTAGCAGAATCATTCATAAAACGATTGCAGTTAATTGCTAGACCATTACTTATGAGAGCTAAGCTTCCTACATCTGTATGAGGACATGCTATTTTACATGCAGCGTCGCTCGTACGCATTAAACCAACATCTTATCATAAATATTCCCCGTTACAATTAGCTTATGGCCAAGAGCCAAATATTTCCCATCTGAGAACTTTTGGATGTGCAGTATATTTTCCAATTGCTCCACCAGTACAACGTACTAAGATGGATCCTCAAAGGAGGCTAGGAATATATGTTGGATTTGATTCCCCATCAATTATTAAATATCTTGAACCCTTGACGGGTGATGTATTTACTGCACGATTTGCTGATTGTCATTTTAATGCGACAAATTTTCCAACATGAGGGGGAGGAATAATAAAGTTGGAAAAAGAAATTACATGGAATGCATCGTTATTGTCTCATTTCGATCCCCGTCAGATCAATGTGAACTTGAAGTTTAGAAAATAATTCATTTGCAAAATATAGCAAATCAATTACCAGATGCATTTATTGATGCCAAGAAAGTGACCAAGTCACATATATCAGCTGCGAATGTTCTATCGAAAATTGATATCCCAATGCAGAAAGTTGTCATTAATGAATCTGCAACACACCATAAGCGTGGTAGACCAATGGGTTCCAAAGATAAAAATYCTCGGAAAAGAAAAATAGTCAATAATCAAAATGACACAATTGAGAATGAGGATATTCCAGAAGAAATCCTAAACATGACAACTCATAAAGATATTGAGGAAAGTCAAGTACCTGAAGATAATAATGAGATTTCAATGAATTACGTTATGACTGGAAAAAGATGGAACCGAACTAATGTAGTTATTGATGACATTTTTGCTTATAATGTTGCTATTGACATTTTATCTGAAAGTGACGATTGTGAACCAAAATCTATGAAAGAATGTCAACAGAGAAAAGATTGGCTTAAATGGAAAGAAGCAATCCAGGCAGAACTTAACTCACTTTCAAAACGTCAAGTTTTTTTTACCAGTATTCCGAACACCAGAGAATGTTAAGCCTGTGGGATACAAATGGGTATTCGTAAGAAAAAGAAATTAAAACAATGAGATCACAAGATATAAAGCAAGATTGGTTGCACAAGGTTTTTCACAAAGACCCGGTATTGATTATGAGGACGGACACATATTCTCCTGTGGTGGATGCAATTACACTGAGATATTTAATTGGCATGACTGTGTTTGAAAGTCTTGACATGCATCTTATGGATGTAGTCACAGCAATATTTATATGGATCTCTTGATAATGATATTTATATGAAAATTCCTTAAGGATTTAAAGTACCCAATTCTAATGCTCGGGAATTGTATTCCATAAAGTTACAGAGATCATTATATGGATTAAAACAATCAGGACGAATGTGGTACAATCGTCTAAGTGGATATTTGTTGAAAGAAGGATATAAGAATAATCCAATATGTCCTTGTGTTTTTATAAAGAAATCACAGTCGGGATTTGCCATTATAACTGTATATGTTGATGATTTGAATCTAATTGAAACTCCTGAAGAACTTTCAAAGGCAATAGAGTATCTTAAGAAAGAATTTGAGATGAAAGATTTCGGGAAAACAAAATTTGTCTTGGCCTACAAATTGAGCATTTAGCATATGAGATACTTGTACATCAGTCAACTTATACAGAGAAAATTTTGAAAAGATTTTATATGGATAAAGCGCACCCATTAAATATTCCAATGGAAGTTCGCTCACTTGATGTGAAAAAAGATATATTTAGACCTCGAGAAGATAATGAAGAACTTCTTGGTCCTGAAGTA